AGATCGACTGCCACCGCCTCGTCCTCGTGCTCCTTTCGCGGCACACGGTGCACAAGAACCAGGACAGACGACGCCCACGACACCTGATTCGGATTCTGATGGTTCGATACATCCGCATCCAGGTGCCTCGTCGTTCCGGCCGTCGCCGACAGTGGTTCATGGTCCTCGGGAACTTCTACAAGAGTTTACCATTGCACTTCGCAATGCATACCGTGAACCTTTCACGGCATGGACACAGGGCGAGCTGGATGAAATGGTGAGACGGAAGAAAGATAAGGATTCCAGACCCACCTATAAGACCATTGCGCGGTTTCTTCAGAAGCCGATTGAGGAAGTGAAGCAGGCATGGAAGGTCTATCAACAACTTGAGGCTCGCGGCTAGGAACAAGCCCGGCAAATGCAGCAGCGACCATTGATGGACCAAATGATAAACGGCGGCGGTGTGTCCGGTTTGAGTTGTTGATCACATGATACTTGCTTGCTTGCACGTGACTCAATCTTGCTTGTCGTGTTGCGAAATGTCGTTGACATGCAGTGATGTCTTTCCTGAGTTGCTCAAATCATGTCAGAACAAGTTGTACAGACGTACATTACCTGGACCCATGGAGCGCAGCCGACGTGGTTACAATTTCATGGACCCGGGGCTCTACTCGACAGACCCATTCGGCTGACTACGTCGCCTCCGCCCCCGCCAAGTCTGCCACTGCTTCTCCCACCTCCTCCACCACCACCACCACCACCACCGGTGATTCTACACCCCCAGTTTATGCCCTCGATACGCAGCACCTCGATCTCAGCCCCTCGCGGACAATCCTGCCCTACCTCTTTGAAATCGCAGCGCACACGCCGCTCGATCTACAGCACTGACCCTTCCCGTGATGAAGTACCACGCAGTCCAGGGCGCTCGTCCAAACGATCTCGGACAGCATCAGCTTCAGCGCCGAGGCGATCTCGACGGCCCTTTACAGTGTTTTATTCCAAACGTGCTGGCCGTTCATCGCGATCCCCATCGGCAACATGCAAACATTACTGTCACGCCATCCTGCGCCATGGACGGAAATGTCTTTCCCCTTGTGCACGTAGACGACCAGGTCACTATCATTGCAGGTGTGCGCGACATCAAAGACAGTGAAAGCCAGGTTTCAGACATTTCAGACCTCGCTGACCCGTTTCACCTTGTGTTTGAAAAGTTGCCTTGCTCCTCAGTGGATGTGTGCGGTTGGCAATGCATGTGTGTCCTTGCCGCAGATTTTCGATTGGTTTAGCAGTCGTGCAAGCCCGTATTGCTGCTATGAACCCCCAGTATTTCGAGTACCAGATCGACAGAGGAGTGGAATGGATTCGAATTTACTCTCCGGGCATTTGGAGGCCCGTTCCGGAGGAAGCGCCAGTTCCGGACCCACTTTACGCTTCCACATTTCGGGAGTGGCGCAGATCATACCACTTCCAAGTGTACTGGTCTGAAGACAGCACCGGAGGCACCACAATGGATCCTATTGCCACGCCCAGTGCCTATGTGTCCTATCACGTGTGGGAGTACCGAGACTGGCAAACGCGAGGGTACCAACGACTTGGACCTCCTGTCCAATCCATCGGACTCGCGATGCTCGCCAACGCAGACATCGAGTCCTCGGTGGGCTCGTCGGTACCTGATGGAGCGTGGCGGGAACCGTCACCGCCACCATTCCATGATCCTTGGAATAATTCGGATTGACTCTTGAGTTGCATGTTGGATAAAGATGAGGTTGTGCGTGCTTTGAATGTGAGTTCTCATTGGGTTGTCTTGCTTGGTGCTGTGCATGTTGTCTCCATGTGTCCGCCGCTCTCTGTGATAACTTTGAGCAGCTTGTCGGGTTGAAATGTTCAATAGTACGGTGCAGGGTGCAGCAGGATGGATCCTACCTCGCTATTTTGACTATGACATCGTCAATGGACCAGCAGGAACGAGTGTGGAATGGATTCGAATCTATGTGCCGGGTCAGTGGCATCCAGTAGCCCCTGACACCCTGGGACCGGCCCCGGATGACCCGACCGCCTATCGGGAATGGCGCAAGGTCTACCACTTCGAAGTGTACTGGCCCAGGGAAAGCACTGGCGGCACAACTATAGGCACGGCTCTGCAACCGGTATCCCACGCCACTTTCTACACTTGGTATTACAGGGACTGGGTCACCAGAGGGTACCAACGCCTGGGTCGTCCACATCCCAGCATAGCGAGGCCAGTTTTCGCTTCGGGTGCGCCGGACCTCATGTATGCTGGAATGACCTCCTCTTCGGCATCATCCAATTCACATGATAGCTGATGCCCGTCCTCGCCTCCCTGGAGAGTCTGACTGTGATGTTGGCGCCGCACAGTGCTACAAAAGTGGTCTTTTGCGTTTTGATTGTTGATTTGCTTTCACTCGTTGTTGTCTGCAGCCGTACACCTATCAACTTGACTTTCCGTGGTTGCGTTGTCATGCCGTGGCTGGAATGGTGCCCGGACCCTCAACAACCTGATGCCCAGTGGGTCAAGATCTTTCATCCGGGACCATGGACGCCTCAGGATGAACAGGATGCTCCACCTCCTCCGCATACTTTCAGAGAATGGCGGGAGTTCTATGCTCCCAACCAGGACTCAGTTGAAGGGCAAGTCCAAGTCACTACGTGGTACAAGCGAGACTGGGCCACGGAGGGCTATCGGAGAATCGCTGCTCCTCACGCCGGTCATGAATTTGATTCCATGTATCCCTCCGATCACCATAACGTGGCCACGCAGTCTGCGTCGTTGAGTATGTCGCCGGAGCTGTTAGACGCGATTCTCAGGTCCTCGGATGCGGCTGATTTCTCCACTGAGGAACTGATTCGTCTCCAGGAGGGGATTTCTCAACAACTGACGGCCCGCGCACGTCTGACCTCTCATCCTCATCAACCAGTACGTGCATCGCGTGGCAACACACCATCGGAGACGATTGGGGTCTCCGACCCCTACACGCCCGTGAATCCGTCCGGTAGCGGCCAAGACAAGATGAGGCCCGTCTTCGAGCTCACTGAAGACTAGCCTTGCATGAGCAGCGCAGCGTACAAAATAAGGGTGACCTCTACACTTGCATGATCTTGCTTTGCTGTTGTTTGAACATGGTTGTGCATGGTGCTTGTCCACCTACTAGCTGGATCGGAGCCCGCGACCATCCTTGCCTCTTGCCTCGACATGGACATCGATGATTCCAAGCAGTATCCATGGCTCGAATATTCGGTCTGGCATGATCAGGAGTGGGTGCGGATTTACACTCCGGGACAACCTCAACGATGGCACCGTGGTGACGCCGTACCTGATCTACCTGAAAACTCTTTTCGTGAATGGCAGCGGGTGACGGATCCCGAAGCACCAGTCCAGGCATGGGACATCCGTGACTGGCAACACCAAGGGTACCAGCGCATTCTGTCTCGGATTGAGTCCTTCGCAACTCACTGTTCACATGATCAGACTCTTGGTCAAGGTCGGAACTCCGATGCCGTTCAAGTTGAGGAGACCTTCACCTATGCCACTCCGTTTTCTCATGGTGATCGCCCGGCTGCTTCGCAGATCGCTTCAGTCCTCTATGGCGACACTCGTAATGCTCAACGTTGTGAACTTTCGTTCCCGTCTTCTGAGCGGTTTAGGGCAGTGTCTCGCTCCCCTCGCCGTGGTGGATATTTTGGCCAACGATAGTGATTTGAGTTTGAGCATGTGATCTTCCTGCAGGAGAAAAGAGAAACCTCGCCCCTCGTAGAGGGGCGTGTGTGTGCGGAGTGACAGAATGCCCTGTCACCACCCTTTCGGTTTCGCAGCAGGGGCGTGCAGCACCTTTGGCATACTGCACGCAATGAAGCTGTTGCCAAAGGTGGGAAGGGTGTCCAGACGTGGACACCTGTACCTGCTTCAGTGATTCTGAAAGTCCTTTTGGCCCCTTGGTTGCGGCGCTGTTTGTGCTTCTTGTTCTTTCTCGTAACGTGTTCGACACTAGAGGGAAGCCAAGTGCATTGAGAGCCGAAACTCATCATACTCGAGACTTGTCGGTTGTACTCGAGACTCATCAGTTGTACTCGAAAGATTCGCACTCTCCATCTGGAGTTCAAGTGTGTGTGTGTGTGTGTTTGTGTGTGTGTGTGTGTGTTTGTGTGTGTGTGTCTGTGTGTGTGTGGTGTGTGTGTGTGTGTGTGTTTGTGTGTTTTTGTGCGCGTGCGTGTGTGTTTTCGTTTGCGTATGCGTGCGTGTGGTGCGCCGGTCCGAGCGTGCGCGTGAGTGCGCGTGTGCGTTTGCGTGTGCACGTGTGCAAGCGTGCGCGCATGCAGGCGTGCGTGCGCGTGTGCGTGCGTGGGCGTGCGGGTGGGCGGGTGGGCGGGCGGGTGAGTGGGTGGGTGTGCGGCTGTGTGTGTGTGTGTGTTGTGTGCGTGTGTTGTGTATGTGTGTGTGTGTGTTGTGTATGTGTGCGTGTGTGTGTGTGCCACGATCAGAACCGAAGGTGCAGGGCAACCGCAACAACCGGAGACGTGAGTCAAACAACCCGGAAAGTAGCAAGGATTGCCTTCAAACAGCCCAGTATTTAGTTATTTATTTATTAAAAAAAGAAAAGAAAAACACGTCTTGTTGTGGTTCACTTGGAGACCAGCATGCGCACATACATACATACATACATGCATGCATACATGCATACATACGTACATACATACATACGTGCGTACATACATACATACATATATACATACATACATACATACATACATACATACATACATACATACATACATACATACATACATGCATGTGCACATACATGTGCACATATATATGTATACATGGGCACATACATGTGCACATACATGTGCACATATATATGTATACATGGGCACATACATGTGCACATACATGTGCACATACATGTGCACATATACATGTATACATGTGCACATACATGTGCACATACATATATATATATATATATGTATATATATATATATGTATGTATGTGGAATCCGAGGCATCGTGATTTGGGCGAACCTGGTGGTGCAGGGCTTTGCCGCTTCCCTGAGCTTAGAACTGAGTAGCTGGCCGCTGGCCGTCCATTTTTGGCGCGCCTCAACCTTCCGGAGCCCTTTTCGATGCCAGGCGTTGGAAAACCCGGCTCTAGTTCTTGCTCAATGCCAAGCCCTGGGCCAGGGCTGGGAGCCCTGGGCCAAGGCCAGAAGGCTTTGGTCTAAACCCCTGGGCCAGGGTTTTCAATCGGCGAGATGTGACTTCGAGTTCAGACATCGCACCGAGGAGCTCGAGCACTCGCTGTTGCCACAGCCAAAAGGCGCCGAAGAGACCAAGAGACTGTGCTCGTGTGTGGGAGTTGCTCAAAATGGTGGAAAAGCCCCCCAGATTGGGCTTGTATTGCAGGGAAACCCGGACACCTTGCCATTTTAGGGGACCGATTCTTATATTTGAGAAACACCCGTGTACAATCTAATCCAAGCCTGCATGTTGAGCAGCGTTTTTTGTCAACCGCTCTTGTCCTGCGGAATGTTGCCCACAGTAAATCAACCAATCGGCTGTTATAGTTGTTTGGCTCTGCAATTTGATGTTGGTCCATAAATTCCAGGCCCCACATAGCTCCCAATCAGACTTCTGAAGAGGGCTGCCTAGGGTTCACCTTTAGGCAGCACCCGGAAGGCTTCAAGGAGACTTCACTGTATATCTGCTTTTCCAACATGCGATTTGTAGAACTACCCATGATGAAATAGAAGCATCTAGAGTTACCAAGGGTTCCGCTGGTATACCCGAGAAACGTTTCATGGGTGCTGAGTGGTGTAACGGGAAGCCAAGGAAAGCCACAACTAGGTCCCCCTGCCCTTTTACCCTTTTTTTGGGGGGAGGGTTCCCCTACTAAAATAGACTACAGAAAAAAAGAAGTACCCTTATTCGAACCTCTCTACGGGAGGACCTAGATAAGGGGATGGGATTTTTCCTCAATTTCGGATCTACCAGTGACCCCCAAAGCTCAAAGGGGCTTAGCCCCCTGGAGAACTTGGGTTTTGGGCGGCAACCACCTGACTTTTTGTCCATTGCGAGGATTGTCTAAACAAACAACAGGCACAGCATATTGAACTCATGCAACCAAAGAATTGTACCAATCAGACATGATTGTGCTGCTTGCTTTTAGTCATTGTTCCTATTGTTTCTATTACCCTCCCACCAATTCACATGTAAGCTTCTAAAGGGACCGGGTCCCGAAGGTCAGGTTCCATGTTAATTGGTGGGAGGGTACCCTCCCACCAGCTAACATGGAAGTGCAAAGACCCCTGCAGAAAGATTGCTGTCCTCTCGGAAAGGGCCTTTTTGCACTTCCATATTAATTGGTGAGTGAGAGGGTATCTCATTCATTCATGTTTCATGTTAATTGGTGGGATAATATTGCTTTTTTTTGGGGGGAGGGGGCTGGGCTTGGAGCCCATATGGGCACTAGACCGGAGCCTGCGGAAAATCCCCGCGATCCGCAGCGCCAGACCCCTGGCCCGCCAGTGTTGAAGTCTGCTTCCTGATCTTCTACATCGCGGAGCGGGTTGGGGTTTTCGGGGGGTTCAGGGCGTTTTGTGTGTGTGTGTGTGTGTGTGTTTTTTGGGGGGGAGTTCGGGGGGTTCTTGCAGATGTGGGCAAGGGTGGACCTGTGAGCCTGCGAGTTTGGCGCATCGGAGCATGCACAGGCTGGGATAGGTGTCATCCATCCGCAAGGGAAAGGCTGGCCATGTTCTTCCCGGAGATCCGAACCTTATTTCAGGTTCTGAAATGATATAGCCGAAGATAGGTGGCTTCTATGGTTGAAAAGGTGGCACTCAAACTCAAACCAGGCTGAAACCAGTGGAATCTATGTTCAACCAAACTGACCTAGGACACCTATGAGAGAGGACCAGAACATCGAGAAATGAAAATAAGGCGTGTACCTCTGTCGGATGGGTTTCAAACCGAAGCGAAGCAACGGCTGCCATATTTGTGATAGCTGTCAGAACACGAGGTTTCGCCGAGTGACACGCTGTGCTTTCGGACTTTTACTCCTGAACCTTGCCCGGAACATGTGCGCACAATCAAAACCCGGGTAGGATTAGGGATCGTCCCAGCCATATGTTTTGCACAACAAGAACACCCGCCCTTTTTATTCTCTTTACATGGTTTTGGGTCGGCCATGTTGATAATAGCTGGTGTCGTACTCCGGCTCGCAGAGCACGAAACACGGAGCCTACCTGGAGGCTCTGGGTGTTTGGAACACAGTCAGCTACGTCATGGATCTAGGTCGCTAAGTGTATTTGTTGTATAAGCGAGTTTGGTGTTTCACCTCAAGGTGCTTAAAATATATTGTTGGTTCCCCTAAGAAACATCTAAGAAGGGTTCTCCTATTTGAGACAGGCCCAGCTTTGAAGCAGATGTCTTGTGTTCAAGAATAGCTTGCCAGCAAGCGGTTCTACGCCATGTTGATTTGCTGCTTCAAAGTTGCCGCACCAAATCCCTGGTGCTGAAGTTGTAACACGTCATTCGCTGCCCAAGCGGCAACGCAAAGCACAGCTCCTAGGAATACTTGGTTTTACCACTGCGCATGCTTATTTGCAACCGCAGGCACCAGCCATGCCCACTATGAGCAACCCTGACAACCCTCGAAAGACCGGAGATGTTCATGAAACGACCTCAAAAACCAAAACCCCTGCAACAACAACAAGGTTCAAACCGGACAACTTGTTTTTGACCACCCCTCCAAAACCTGACCCGTGTGCGTCCACGTGGTCGCATCCGCGTCGCGGACGTCAGGAGCTCGTGTTGCGCTTGGCTGCGCGGGGGTTGAAGGCGAATCTCATGGACCCCTGGTTTGTGCTCGACCTGCGGCCTGGCCGCAACTGGCAGCGCTCCGTCCATAGTCGCTTGCGCGGTACGAGCAAAAGCCGTGGTTTGCTGCAGATGGTGTGCAAAGATGGTGGGTAGGTTGAATTCCACGGGGGAAAAAGACAACAACACAAAGTATTTGTAGGGAAGCAAGCGCGGTGTCGGCTTTGGCGATGTTTGCTGCAAACTGTCATTGAACCAACCAAGCTGGGGTGTCCCATTGTTCGACAGCAGGGTTCCATTGACAACCCAGGCACACAGGAGCTGATCTCAACATTATCCCGGCAAGAGACCCCACATAGTATTGGATTTAACTTGGCCCGGAAGCACAGAAACACATTAGATAAACTCTGACACCTCCCCCACCTGCTGAGCAACAAAACGCAAGCACGTCAATGTCCCTGCTCCAGAGTAGCTTGGGCAAGTGTTCGTGAGCAAGCTTAGCATCACGATTGACAATCTATTACGTCAACTTCTTTTGTGCGCGATGCTGTGAACTGATGCGTGAAGCTGCGGGAGACTTCGTGTGATGTTGCGCATGATGCTGCGCATGATGCTGCGCACGATGTTGCACATTATGCCGTGCATGATGCTGACCTGACGGTGCGCATGATGCTGCGCATGATGCTCTCTCTTGCTTCTGGTAGTTGAAAAGGTTGATGAATCCGAAGTGAACATTCTCAATTCCAGCCACAGAGTAACTGCAAGGACCAATGGACCTCACAAGCGATCATGTGAAAATGGGTTTTGGTTCAGGTTGCCACTTTCTATAGCCCTTGGGGAAACTCCAAAATGAAGTGACTGCTACACGCATGGATTTTCAGGCTTTTAGCCGTTGGAGGGATTTGTGACCCGGGTTCAAAGAACCATGAAGTGTCTAGTTGAGCTTGCAAGCCTTAGGCTCTTGGTTGTTGCCTTTATCATTAGTCAATGTGTGTTTCTTGTCAGGTCACGGTTGTTCATGGGAATGAAAGCGAAGCTGCATCGCAGGCTCGTGGTGATCGGCAGCATCGCAACCCTGATCCTCTACAGCGCAGATGGTTTCAACGGTATCCTCTTCGTCCGTGGTGTCAGACTGCTGCGACTGGGCCACTCAGATCAATGGAGTGCTCTTCGCAGCATCTTGGGTCCCACTTTCCCTTTGCTTCGCGCCAATGTGTCCACGCCTAGGTTGACAGAAAGGAAGCCGTGCGGTCTGAACGCGCTTCGAACTTCTTTTCCTGTTTGGATTCAGAACCCCGGAGTGGGTTTTTGAAACTTGGGATTGTGAGATTGGCGGCTGATGTGCAATGCCGAGGTCGTTCCTTGCAAAGCATCAAGCGCATCAGGACGCATCCGCTTGTCCAGCACTTGAGGTGTGGTCTTTTGTTTGTGTGCCTGTCGACACCGGAATCATGGTGGACAAATCGTGGATCTTTCCCAAAAAAAGTTATCTCCATGGGTTGGTGGAAGAGATTGGGTTGATCCTTTTGAGGTGATCCTTTTTCGGATTGTTTTTTGAAGCGGAATCAACGGGAAGCCGCCCTCGGGCCATGGTTTTGTTGGCCGCTGGTCCAGGGTCCAAGCTGTGATATTCACGCGCCGAACATCCGCAGGATCGTGTGGTATCTCTTGCGTGGGCTGCTGCAATCTGGGCAGGTACGAAGCTCAGTTCTTGTGTTTGTGTTTGTGTTTATGTTTGTGTTTGTGTTTGTGTGTGTGAAACTCGGGAGTTGGATCGGAAAAGCGGAGGGTGTTCCTGTTGTTGTTTCCTAAACCTACCTCAAACATGGGAGCCAGAAAAAAACATGCTTCCCAAGTTTATTTGCAAGAGAAGGCAGCTCTCCAAGTTGTTTTTAGGATTGGGGGGCTGTGGTTTGACCATATTCACAAAGGCCATGCTTGCGCAGACACTGAGCTATCCTCTTTGAATCGATCATGCAAGTGGACCACAACTCACGGCTCCTAAACATGGCTGTTGGCCACATGTTGCAAGTGGACAAGTTGACCCGTGTTGAGAGAAATAGTTTGCACCCCGCGAATGAATGAGATACCCTCCTACCAATTATCATGCAACCTGACAGGGTGTCCCAATATCGGAAAATGGTCCAAACCAGAACCCCCCGAAACGTTGAACGCTTCCATGTGAAAAGGGTGGGAGGGTAAATTGCTTTTTCTAGGGCTGCCTTCCCCAATTCTTTTCAGAAAACCTCCGGAAGCCAAGGGAAATAAGTTTTCTGGTTGAGAAAAGAACTTCAGAACGGTTGAAAGGAATGGTTGGAATCAACCCAACCCTTCGACTTTTCCTCATCTTTGGTGAGAGCCACGAGGTGCTGACGTGAATGCCATGACATCCATTTGCTGAAATGAACATTTGTTTTTGTTTTTGTTTTTTCCTTGCTGGTTTTAAAGGGAAACGATTTCCTTTCCTGGAGGTTGTTTTTTCATTTTTCCCCAGGGGGCGGACTGAAGCAAGTGGAAGACGAGGTGCTGATCGCGACCTTCTCGCTGCTGGTCTTGGCGCTGTACATCGCCGCATGCATCGGCCACTCGGCATGAGGCGCTCGAGGCGCTCGAGGCATGAGGCCCCCCACAGGTCGAATTGGGGGGGGGGGGACGTCGTTTTGGAAGGATGTCATGGTTTGTGGCTTTAAAAAGAAACCACGAGGAAAACCGAGGTCCTTATTTTTTGGGGGGGGGTTCCCTTAAAGACACACATGGTGATCCAGGTCATTCTGTCATTCTAGTTGGAGAGGCTACACGCTGCGCCGGAGTTCAAAAATACGTGCTGACACATAATGTGCGGCGGGAGGAATGACTCGGGACCCTCCCCCCCATTTCTTGTTGTGATTTGTGGGTGTGTTTCTTCTTTTTTATTGAAATATGTGTGTATATATACATATATATATATATATACACATCTGTCTATATATATATATATATATCTGTATATTACAAACAAACTGGTTGGTCTTGGTAACAGTTCGCCGTTCACCCGTGGACCAGCTTTTTGGCACAGCTTTTCCTTGTTTTCCCTGACGCATTTTTTCCCGTGGCCCGTCTCTTCACTCCGCAGGTGTCGAGGTGATCTCCAAGGACACGACGCTGGCGTCCAACGCTGCGGTCGCCTCGCGCCTCGGCGCTCGGTGCCAGTGGCTCGTTGGTGCCCGGCGGATGTTGGCCCCGTAGGTGTCCTTTTTGGTTGGTTTGCTTCAAAAAATGGAGGGCGATTCCTGGCGTAGATGGGGTTTATTCCACTTACCAGGGCCATCTATTTTTTCAAAAGGCCACCTATGGTTGACCCCGTATGAACGGAGGGTGTCCGTGTCTGGGTTTCGGAATCAGACCACTCCTGGAGGGGCCAAAGCCACCCCTATGGGGTTGATGAATTTGGGGTCAACATTATCTGGTTGGACCTGGTAGGCCAGCTCTAGGTTGATTAATAGCAGGGTTGTGGGATCAAGGGGTTTATCCCCACTTCTGTGATACTTTTGGGAATCCCCTGTTTAAATGGGGGTGGTAGTCTTTGGGAGATCCTTTTGTTGTATCACAGAAGATTCCATTTCCCACAGCCCTGACTACTAGTCAGTAGTATGAGCCGTTTTAGCCACCCACGGTCTCAGGATCGTCTCCTCAAGCTTTGGCAGCCTCCGGCTCACCATGCTCACGCTGATCCAGCCCCTTGGCGGCTGAATTTGTGTCGTTCATAGCGGGATGACGCCCGGTGGATGCCCTGAAACGCAAGTCAGGGGACCAGGGAACCCGCAAATTTGCCAGAGTTTGCCATTTTTTTTGTGGTGAAGGAGGAACCCCTCAAAGGACTTAAAGGTTGTTTCTGTGATTTTGCAAGAATTAGAGTGTGGGGTCGCGCCCAAACTCTGAACCCCCAAATGCTCGAGTTTATTGGGGCCCAACTGCAATGTTCTGAGACTGCAGCTCAAGACCCCTTCCTTGTGGCCTTGTTTAGAATCTTCCATGGGACAGTTGAAGCGGCGCCTGGGGAACAGCCACTGAAACAGCCCCTGTCGGCCTTTGAGTGAGGGAGCGACGCTCCCGCATGTTTTTGTTGTTCCCAAGGCAAAGGTCAACTGGTGTTCAAAAAGCTGGTTGGAAACCAGGAGCTTCGAGCTAGGGCCCAGAGGCCCATGCCATGGGAAACGGTGAACATGTCCCCCTCACAATCTTCCATAGGGTAGGTTCCATAGAAATGAGGGAGGGAAGTCCATTTCGGATAAGAATCCATGGGTAGGTCCCATGTGGGATGTTGATGGGAGAGACTCACTGGTGAAAGCTTCGGGCCTGAGTGGTCCTCGGAACCGCCCGGACCCGCAACTCACATGGCGAGGACCCCAGCTGTGTTTCTGGAGAGCGCACAGTCGATGTCTGGTTTATCTTTCCAGTCATGGAAGTGGACAGGGCCCTGTTGCAAGATGGTGGTCTTCCAAAACCCGAGCTGGTGCACTTGCATTGGAAAGCGGACTCCAAATGGGGAACCTGCAAAGTAGGCGGTGTCCATTTGGTTTCCCTCTTAGCCAAAAGGGGTATCACTAAAAGGAGGGGAAGACACAAGCATCTCCTGGTAGGAAGCACGCGGGGTTTGCTCTTGTGATTAGCCATGCATTTCAGGTGACTACCGGCATGTTGCGATAGCAACTATCCGGTGCCATTTTGGCTCAAGTTTGCGGGTCCGTCGCGCCTCGGATGAGCGTCGCCGGGTCCCCGCGTCGATCACCTTCGTGTCGGTGGAGAAAGAGACATCGGCCCGGGGCAGATTGGTGGGGTCCGCCCGTGCGGTTCATCGTCGATCAAGGTTGCGGGTACTTGTTTACTTGTTTTGGTATTTCCCTTTTGGTTGTTGTTCTCTGGTGTGTGGGAAACCCTGATCTTTGGGACCGGGGATTGGTTTGCTTTTGGGGAACCTTTCTTTTGTGGCTTGTTTACCCCAACTTACCCATTGCCTGGGCACAGGCTCGTGCCCGAATCACAGGTTATCAGCCGTAGGACTTTCCTACGCGCTTGAGACCATCAACTACAAGCTCTATGTCGACCCCACGATCTCGAAGGAGCGTCGTGGATGAGGAGGCCATCCTAGGGGGCCTCCGCTCAGGTGAGGACCTACCGGACTACGACTACGAGGATTTCGAAGCAGGTTCGACAGGTCAGGATCGCAGGGGTGAAGATCCCGGTAGGGACACACCCAGGAGCCGTGGCAGGTACACGGACGATGGAGACGATCGCATTTTCCGTCAGGCCACTGATGATGAGCAGACACGAAGGGTTCGCTCCGATAGGAGCGGCTCTGAATCAGGTCACAGGCGCGGACAGTTCGACTTCATCAGCATGGCGATGAACATGGCCCGCCCTCATTCGGACGACCCGGAGGCCATGCCGACCCGACCCCCGAGATCTCTTGTTCCAGGTGAATCGCAGGTCTCGGATGAGTTTGAGGACAGGCCGCAGGGACCAGGGACTATGGTTTTGGCTCCGGGAGGTATCTCGGGTCGATCCACTGGTTCTCAAAATCCAGGTCAGTTTGATGAGAATGAGGAGAGGAAATTCACAGGCTTCGGATACGATGCTCTGTTGAAATCAACCGCAGGCTGGGGCAGTAGCGCAAGGCAGGAGTCTGATGCCGATAGGCCCAACCCTGTCGCTGCCGGATTTGAGTTTGATAATGATGAAGATTATGCCGCATTTGCGGATCGTCGTGATGAAGAAGAGGATCAGTCGCGCCGAAATGCTAGGATCCGTGCTGCCGCGAGGCCCAGGAGCCTCTCTCGTGGAGCTGCCAGGGACCTTCATGTTGACAGGGACGCCCGGAGCGAGAGACAGAGAGCCAGGGATAGCCGGGAAGTTCTTAGGGGATTGGAGGCCATCCATGACCGGGAGGGACCGATAGGTCCCCCAGTGATTGGTGATACCCCGAATGTTCCCCCTTTTCCCAATATTACATTTGGAGGTCCGCTGCATCAGAGAGACAAGAACTCGAACCGGGTTACTGGTTCGCCGAGGATCACTGAACGGGCTGCCGCGGAATCGAAGATCGTCCGTCGATCGCTAGCCCGTTAGGGCGAGATACCAGTGACCTTGAAACGCTAAGGTCTAGCAACGAGTTCACCCCTCAATGGGGCTCGACCGCCAGGGAACGTAGTGCTTCTGCGAAGAGGCCGTCACCCCTGGCCATTGAGACCGATAGGTCAAAGGCGAGGAGGGCTAGCCCCTCACCAATGGGTTCAACTCCGCAGGATGAGGAGATGCCTGATCCTGCTGATGTTCACATTCACTCTACTCCCGAGTCTCGTGCATCCAACATTGATCCCCGATCTGGCGATAGCCGGAGAAGGGGATCTACCCCTAGCAGGCCATCCAGGATAGGTGAAGGTCCTGTAGGCGACCCCAGAAGACTTGCTAAAGCTAGTGGGGCTCCTGAGAGGATCGAGATATCGACTCCTCCAGCACGCAGGTCCCATTCTTCCGGTGAGTCAGGTGACGCCAGGGCAAACGAGGTGTTTGATTTACACATCCAGGAGATGCTCGAGAGGGGTGAGGTGTCTAGTTCAGTCGCGAAAGCGTTCCATATATTTGCTGACCAAATCAGGTTACTGAACGGTCAGGTGGGTTCCATGCGAAAGGAGTGGAGCGACGAGAATCAGCAGACGAAGGACAGGGTCAATCGTTTGGCGACTGAGGTTGCGAGCGACTCAATCTGATGCCGGTAGGATGCGAATGATAGTTCAACGGTTTGCCAGCGAAGTTATTCCTGACAGCAAGGCCATTGTGAGGCAAGCCATCGATGAACAGGCTGAAGTCGTGGATCAGAGGATCAATTTGCTTTCCCACGAGGTTCATGAATCTGTTAAGGACAATGAGATCGCAACTGATCAGCTTCTGTGCCCTCGATGATCCCAACGACCGTAGGCACCCGGACGCTGAATTCTCGTGTGTTACGTGCAATCGTGAGTTTTGCAGGCTTTGCCGGGGCGACGATGGGGACTGTTGCAATTGTCACTTCTTGAAGATGAAATGTTGGGCATGTCGTAAAAGTGCCCAGGAGGTCTCTATGTATTCCTGCACCGAGTGTGGGAACCACATCTGTGCACAGTCATTTTGGCAGTGATGGCCTCGAGCGATGTGCGCGCTGTAATATTCGGCATGAACGCGCTGAAGCTGGACCGCCCCCCCCTCCTCCTCCTCCTGGGGGAGGAGGTGGGCAAGGCGGACAATCCGGCCAAGGTGGGGGCGGAAGTGATGGTCATGGACATGCTCCATTTCCACCACCAGGACCTGGGCATCCCGGCGGAGGCAAAGGTTGCGCTGGACCTCCTGGAGGCCCGAGTAGTGGGGCTCCTACCGGGGGATACCCTGGTGGAGCACCCGGGTTCTATGGTAGTGCTGCTGACTCTCATGGAGCAGGGAACAACCAGTGTGGTTCGAGTTTCTATGGTCCAGCCTTTGGGGGTGGTGTCTACAGTCAGGGCGTTGGTGCTGGCGTTAGTGAGCCCAATGTTGCTCCAGGCTACCCTGCAAGCATCGGGCATGCCAGTAATCCTGGAGCGGGTCAGTGCCATGGCTATGGCGCAAGTGGTGCCGATAGGCCGGGGGATGGCGGTCTTCTTCCTGAAACAATCAGAGGAGACGACGGGCGAGACAGGTGCACCAAGTGTAACCTCAGGGTCCCCGTTACCGGCCCTCCTTTGGTCCCATGCGTTGGTTGTGGAATGAGGGCTTGTGAAATATGCTGTCCGTTACCGGCTAGGCTGTGTGAGAGCTGCAGGATCACGTCATGTACCCCGATAGGGGCCCTGATTTCAACCGTTGCTGATAAGGATCGGTACCATCACAAATGCAACACTATCACGTTGCCTCCTGAACCGACAGCTGATAAGCTTCGGGAATGGATTTCCGAGGTTAAGGAGAGGGTCAGGAACGCTTTCAGTTTTGACTCTGATTACGCGTTAGCGTGGATTTCAGAGACTGAAAGGCTCGACTATGACGCTCTTGGAGGGCCCTGCAAGTATCCGGTCTTGGATTCCAACTTCACGAGTGCTATCAGGGATTGCATCAAGACGAGGGCCGTTAGGGATAAGATGAATCGCTTAACAGAGGCTGCTCAGAACATGACCCCTCCTCAGGGCATCAAGGGAAGGCAGATCTTGAAGCTCTTGCTGAACCATCTGCAGACTGGAGTCGAGGATGACCAGACGTTCAAGATTGCCGAGTTGACCAGTCTCAAATGTCGACAGACAGGTCACTCCGATGACGAGGCTAGGCTCCGGAGTTATCTGAGCACCTGGGATAATCTCATCTATGGGATCAAGAGGACGATCGCGATGAGACCGTTAGGTCTTTTCCATGGCTCTATAAAGCTTGTCAGGACTGTGTTGAGCGATGGCAGAAGCGACAGAACAAGCTTCAGATGTATCAGACCTTTCATGAGCAAAGATCCCGGTCGGGCTCGCACTCTCGTGAAAGGGATCGGCATCCTGGAGCTCCTGGGGTTGTTCGAAGATACGACCCACTCGCGAGGAAAAGCGACCCGAGCCCTTCAAGGTCCGTTAGGTCCGGAAGGGATGGGAAACCCGACGGGAAGCCAAGATCATCTTCGCCCGGAAGAAGCAGTCAGAGAGACAGAGCTTCTCCTGGAAGAGGCAGTCAGAGGGACAAGCGCACACCGTCT